TAGACATATGAAATGGGACACTCAGATTCGAATGGGTCATGAGAGTCGATTGCCCGGGGGAGATCATGGGCGATGGTCATAGAGAGATGTGGCGAGATGCCAAGTAAAGGAAATGTTGAGGAAAGCATGAGCCCATGAAGTTAACAAGGGCCGTCAAGGAGAGGACGATACCGATACAGGTATCAAAGAGATGAGGGAAATGGTGAACACAACACAAAACAGACCTCAGCAGGACTGAGGTGGTTGAGAGAAGTTGAGGGTGAAAGGAAAAGAAAAAGCCGCCGTAAAGCATCTTGCAATGCATCAGCCAAACACCACGCTCCAAGGACAAGACAAGAAAAAAAGATAAGATGCAAGAAAATGCAAAGCACCAACAATGAAAGGTACGAGCGAGTCGATTTAGTAGGAAAGCATCCGGCGGCCGGGGGTTCGCGCAGGGACTGGGCTTTGGGAGAATGGGGAGCTTAAGTATCGGTTTCGTTCATTGTCGCCAAGTCGGCAACGTCCAGTTGGGCTGTCCTCCATTCCGGGTGATTGTTCTCCAAAGGCAAAAGTCTGGGCGCGGTTCAGCTTAGAGCGCTGCTTGACCTTGCCGAGCCCACGCTCGCAGGCGAATTCGTGCTCCTTGGCACTCATTTCGACATAGTTCTGAGGGAAACAGAAAGAGCGGTGCTCAGCGAAGAACGAGCTGTATCCCCCATCCAGAATGTACATATCTGGGTATGATAGGTGAGGGTAAGTATCAACGTTGATGGCGCGATCATGGTGACGCAGGTACTTGGCCATGATGGGAGCGCGGTGGGCAGAGTACTCGCAGTGCAGGACAAGCGCAGTGCGGGCCTGGGGGGCACTGAACAATTCACCGGCGAGACGTTCCTTGTCGTTATAGTTCAATGCACCAGTGATGTGGCCACCCTCATACTCGTACTCGAAGCGGCAGTCGATGATGAGAATGTTGTCGAACTGGTCGTTGAACTTGCCGCTCATGAGTTCCAGAAGAGTGCTTTTTTCGATGCGAGGCAGAGAGTCCGCGCGATCCTCAGGGATGAAGTGAGGCAGCTTCATGCTGGGCGGGCTCGAAATGTCACTAATGGACTGGACGGGTGTATTTGTCGCTACCTTGGCCTCTTTATCGGTAATAACATCTGCTGGGTTCTCAAACATGCTCAATGATCGTCGACATTGCTTGCGAGGACGCATCAAAGGATGAGAGGGTTTGCGGATTGAACTGGACGCGGGGGAGCCGCTGCTACGGGCATGGTGGAGTGACGGCCGCATACGGGGCGGCGCCAGGTGAGTTGAAGAGTTGTTGCGAGAGAGTGGACGTTCACGAGGAGGCGAGTCCCCAAACATATCTTCCAGAGAAGTGGACGTGCTAAGAGATGTCTTCGCTCCAGTTCCAAATCGGAACGGAGGTGCCTTGCTCTCTGGCGCAGGTCGAGTCAGTCCAAGCTGGAAAGATTGAGCCTTACTCCTGGCCAGGTTAGGACGCAGGAAAGTGGGCCGCTTCCTCCTGTCAGATAGAAATCCATGTTAGCCGAAGTGATTTGGTGGCTGGCTGAACATCACGTGCACTTACTCAGGTGGGCATAGAGGTGACTCCATTGGAGACGCCTGCAGAGGGCTTGGTAGCGGAGACACCATTGGTGATTCCATAGGACTACCCCCGGGTGTCGGAGACTGTATCTCGATCTCAGCAGTGACATAAAACGCCGGCTTGTGAGGCAGTGGAGACATTTCCATAACGTCCATAGCCGGAGCTGGTGAAGATGATGGGAGCGGCGGAGTGGTCATCACATCATCTATATAAACGTATCAGTCACTACTCCACCCTGCCATTGTAGGTGGCGATTGCTTACCACGTCCATTGGCTTGACCAAGCATACTGGCCGTGAACAAAGACCGCCGTGGTGTGGCTAATTGAGGACTAAATATAGAGTTAGCCGGGCTTTGTCTCTTTGAACCTCATGAAATGACCAAGAAACCTTTGACATACCTCTGATCAATATGGAAGTTCTGAGAAAGATCAGCAGCCAAACTAGCTGTGGGAGAAGATCCTCGAATTGGTTTCATGTTGAAGTAGTCCGAACTAGACTTCTTCATAGACAATTCCTTGAAATTGAACGGGTTCCCACCAAACCCGGACATTGAACCCAGTGAATAAGAAGTGGATGCCTCTGAACGAAAGCAATGGCCGAACATGACCGATGGAGGCTGCATAGCAGCGAGAGGTGAAGAGTGCTCCATGGCCGGTGACGATTTGCAACTGGACCAAAAAGCCGACGTTGTACAATTCCTGGGAAGGGAAGCAACCGGCGAAATAGAAGGCAAATCAGGCCCTGACCACAGATGTCTACCCAGTACTAGGTCCTACAAACTGAGGTTCAAAAAAAAAAGTCTCAACGCACGTCTCCACGTTTGCAATTTCAACGTTATGGGTCCCCACGATCGCCGTGACAACCAGTTCGGGAAAAAAAATCCTAGGTCCCAGACCCTAACCACCAACGGCAAGAGAGTTGTATTTTGTAGACACAGGATTTATCGGTCCATGGCAAGCTTTTCGGAGGATTTTGGGGGGTGAAATATGGTGAATATGTAGGTGATTGGAGGGGTCGGCGTGGGAGCTCGTGGGTGCTGCAGGGCTGAGGGGAAGGTCCAAGAATATGATATGGGGATGTCGGCGAACCCGAATAACAAAATTGAAACTCACAATGTCGAGTGAGGATTGTCGAGAGTAATTAAGAAGAGAAAAGTAGGAACAAAGCGGTTTGAAGAAAGAAGCCGTGAAGCTGAAGGGATGGGCTTGTTGCAATGGGCAACGCAGGTGGGGAGGATCTCCGAATGTACAAGTATTGAGTAATACTGCGGCTCCGATTTTCAAGTAACCGGGAAATTTGAATATTAAAAAGGCTAGAAGGGTAATCGACGTAATAGGCGTAATATAGTATTAAAGTGTATGGGAGATCAAAACAGCTAGTTCCCTTATAACCTGTATAAGGAACCTGTACGGTAAAAATAAAAGACGAAAATATATAATTCATGGGGAAAACTAGATCGGTATGCAATGGTAGTAACCATAGAGAGTAAAAGATAGACAGTCCCCATGCTCTGGCTAGGGGCCAAATACTTTTTTTTCCCTCTCGTTGCCCGGGGCTCCCTTGCCGCAGCAACCCAGCGCCTATCAGAGCTCATCACCTTTTTTCTACTATGTCTTGGGTCTAGCTTTGTCTCCCCTGCTCTATGGAAGGAGGATTGTCTCTCTCGGTACCCTTGAATATGCGAAATTACCTCTATTCCATGCATATTCCTTGGTTCTTCCAATAGTATCCACCAAAAGTGAGAAAACTTTTCTCCCGTGTGTGTCCGTCACCAAATGAACCACAGGCGAGCTGAAAAAAAAAAAAAAAAAAAACGGAGCCAAAGATCGAGTCTAATGCAAAATATCCACTTTCTTGGTCCTCGGGAGAAAAAAAAATTTAGAGCTCCTGCAAGTGATGGGAAGCAAGTGATGGGATGCAAGGGAGCTTCGATTGAACGGCTTCTTTTTTATTATTTTATTGCTTCCAACGTCACGATATGCTTCAATCCAGAAAAATCCTAGAAATCCTAGAAATGTCCCGCTCACTTGAACCTCACCCAATTATAGAACATAGTATAGTGCTCGATCGAGTCAGCCCCGATAAGTGATATTCATTTTCGGGAGAGCTTTAGGTGTTGATTGGCCACACCGGAGAGCGTGGAAGGTTAAGATCTCGTCATCTCCGAGAATTCAGAGTTCGCACTATCTGAGCTCTACTAAGCAATATGAAGAGCCGATCAGAGATTGGAATCTATGTTGCATGGAGTATGGAGTACATCATAGATTGCCGTTCAATTACTTCTAGATCGGAACGTACAACGTAGTATTGAGTAAGGAATGGTAGATAAACTCATTCTTACTCTTCAAGCTATAGTGCTCTCGCTATTCAGACATACCCGTGCTGCCCTTACTTGCACCCGCATTCTTGTTGATCAAGGGCTCGCGATGACCTTCAATGTCGCGCATCCCTTCCATCCCCCTTGGTAGGGTCACTGACTACAATATACATTAATTGCCTAAGGGCAGTTCTATTGAAACCTTCCTGTAGGATAACCTTTGCGCTTTCTACACCTGACAACATTGAAAGCAATTGCACCTGCCGAGGTACATTGCCACCGTCGCTCTAAAGCTAGGGCTACTCCTAACAGCAGTGATAACGAGCTAGTTAGGATCAACATTCATGCCATTGACCCGCCAGACCAATTGTGAAGGACATGTTTCGTCAACACCTTCAAGTTTATTCACCACAGATCTTAGTCCAGTCCCATTCGGGCTATCAGATGCGATATTTACTCCGTACCTAAGATCTCAGATTTGCCACCAGGCGGCTCTTTACTTTGTACTAAGTACGGAGTATGCCATACGAAACTGCTAGTCGCTGGAGTCGGCTATACTAGTGGTCCAGTCAAAAGTGGACACCGGGCTCAGGATTCACTACTGCACCCCACGGTGTGCTATTCTAGACCATCTCGCGAAACACCGGAAATCTCGAGCTTCACTGGGTCATCCTGGTATATCCGATCAATCCGAGATGCATCAACCCCCGGTCCTTTCAGTATTTACAATTGGCTGCCCTTTCTGTATATGCATCTATCAAAGGCCTTGTTACACACACTCACCCCGTGATAGACGATACGGTGTGCAACTCCACGACGTGTTCGGACGATTCCATTGGCCCGTGATGCTACGTCATATCTACTGAACATCAATCTATTGGTGCTCCGTGCACATCTACAAACCTGATGTTCTAATGCTCAATTTACGTTCAAACTCGGCCGGTTTTGAGACTTTGGCAGGTACCTCGCGTTAACATTTGTTTTGATATGTGTTGATATGTTGATCATAACACCGGAACACCTATTCACGAATCAGAAAGCACCTTGGCTCTTTTCAGGCGCTTACAGTTGCGAAACTCGCTGACATGCTGACCGTGTCAGCCCGGTCGCCCCGATCTAAGCACTTCTATGCGCCACGGCTGCAGAGATGCAGCTCAGGTGGGGTCGGGGAGGACTCCGATGATGTGACCGGTCAATCGCATCACAACGCCGCGCACGCTGGGGCCAGTCATATCCGCCCTCCAGCCGAGTGCTTCATTGCTGCGGGGTTCATCACATTTCAACTCGTGTTCTGTCAGATATAGCCTGCAGTGTTAGGGTTGTCTAGACCTTTTCCCCTCCTTGTCTCAAGTTTCTCCCCCTCCCATCGTCCAATGTGATGTCACGATGTTGATTGTTGATGGCGCGTGAAGCTTCATGTAAACAAAGCAAACCAGCTTCCACGAAACTAATACGTTGTCCCGTGATCACACATGACATCGAAGGGAAAATTCCAGATCAAGATTTCCGACCCTCCCCAACTAGGATTTGATTTGTATTTTGGTATTATACATCCTCCAGTACTGGAAATACCCTTACCCTTCATTTCCTTTGGTCTTTCTATATTTGTCAATTACTAGTATCCTCCCGGCTCGGAGACCCCGATCAGCGCCGCTATTGGCAACCCCCGGTCGTTTTGCGCCAGCGCCTCATCGGCTTCGTGCCTGTCAGCTCCCCTCCCCCAATCGTGCTATCACTTCTTAGTGACGCCCCTACTCCTTTTTCGGAAGCTGGTGACTCCCCATATCACACAGCTCCGATTATGGACCATGTCTCTGTCAGATGCCCCCGCCCAGCGTGATAGCTCGCGGGTCATACTTGGACGCCACTGGACTAGTATATTCCACCACCGTATTCTACCAATCTAGACGTTCTTTGTAGCACAGAATAGAGTCTCTTGGTCAATATAGTATATTCCTTTTTTTAACCCCGTATCGAGATCACCGTGAGCTAAACTTGTAGCCACCCCCGTCTTTACTTAAACACCGTGTGCATTCCCCAACCCCAGTGCTCAGACAAATTCCACTCCGAACCTCTGTACAACTTCCCAAGTCACACAAAGCCATATAATACGGTGAAAGTTGCATAATCAGGCAACCTACGAAGCCCCTGAAATCACAAAATCTGACACCCGACTCTACATCTATCACAACGGTTGCCAGGACTCCCAGGCCCACCAAGACGCCGGACTCCATACATTATCACTCCGAGACCCGTCCGCCTACATCAAAACCACCTGCGCAATTCCCACGAAATCCATTCCCACATGTTACCAGCACGACGACTACCCAAAACTAAAAACTACTTAAACCATGCAGATCCACGGCAGATGATAACCCATCCGTTCCAACACATCAATTCGACACAGAGGTAATTTTCTTCCATCTCCATAATATGTGATTCCATCAGTCAAATGGCCTCGCCCTAGCCAAATTGATAGTTCGATGCATGATTTCTGCTTTCTCTATCGACCGACCAAGAAAGTCGCTTTGTCTGGTATACTCGTATACAGATCAGCCCCGGGCGGGTCGGTGCATCCGCCAAAAAAAACAACACAAGCGGAGCCCGGATCCTGAAGCTCGGATCCCGCGCAATTATCGGATTTCTTCGGTGTTAAGCGATTATATAAATGGAAGCTGGTTTCCCGGTTGCCTTTGACAACAGGATATTCCTGCGTCTGGACTGGTGGTTTGAGGTTGATGGTCCGCGGCTTAACCTTGGGTGATCTCGTTTTTAGGATTCGTCATTACCCCTGAATCAGTCCGGACTTCTTTTCGACCCCGGTTTCTCTGACAGCTTCGAATACACTACATTCTTTCGTCTATTGAAACGCCGATTGCATGATGCCATACCCGATCTGTTGCGTGGTTTTTGAGGTATCTTTGCTACAGCTTCCAGGGGGCTCTGTTTGAGGTACGGAGTACTCCGTATATTCCGTACTCGGAGACAGTCTGTCTTGTGGCTTTGGGGGCTGGATTTTTTTTTATTGGCTTGGATCCTAGGTTTGGTGGGTAGAATTTGACTTGGTAGTTTTGAACCATCCTCTAGAATTCTGTGAGTAGAGGAGGATTAGTTTTGCTGGATATCTTGAAGTCTTGCTGTGAACGATATGCCTAGCTACTAGGCATGCTACAATATATATACATATATATATGCCTAGAAAGGTTCAATATAAGTTTGCACCATATCTTTGATTTCCTACCATGATCAATACACTATAGGTTCCAAATATCCTCTTGAACACTTTAGAAATATCTATCTTGAAAGGTTTACCCGTTCAACCCCGGTCTCATGGAGCATCAAAATTCTTATCGGCTTATCGGTCTAGACTAGTCCCAAATAGGCTAAAGCATGAATTTTTCTGAGCAACTTCAACGGCCGCAAGGAGTGTTGAACGTGCTTTTGGTTTGCAGATCTTCATTGTCAAGGCCTGAGAGCGGAGAATTCGATCGTTAATTGCACCTCACACCTATCCGCAACCCCCAACCCCCCCAGACTCAGCAATGGGCCCCCCCTTCGCCGGTTCAAAGAAGCGCCGCCGCGAACCTCACAATGTCGACGTGAAGCTGGTGGAACTCTACGAGGATCTCGCTAGCGAAAAAGATGAGATCCGACTCAAGGCTGCCCAGGCCTTAGTGTCGCAATTCACTCCAGACCAGAACCCTGCAGATGAACAGATCAAGAAGGTGCTATCGAGACTCTTCCGCGGTCTCTGCAGTAGCCGCAAAGCTGCTCGAATCGGATTCTCAATTGCCTTGACCGAGATTCTGAGCCAGGTCTTCTCATCTCCGAGAGAGACATCACGCTTCAGCTTCTCGGATGCACTGAACCTCTGGGAGTCTCAGTCGAGTTCCTCTGGCAGCGAGTCGGGACAGGTTGGTGGCCAAACATGATTTGAAACGTCGCATGCGCTAATGAGGATATCTCTTCGTTTTATATAGGAACAACGCGACCACCTTTTCGGTCGTCTTTTCGGCGCCGAAGCGATCATCAAATCCTCCGTTCTGTTCCAGCCCACCGTGCCCTTCGAGCAATGGACCCAGGTCGTCGATCTTGTCTTCGAGCTCGCACAGAAAAAACCATGGATCCGCGAAGAGTGTGGGTGGATTATCTACCAGTGTGTCTATGACCTGGCTGCACGCAAGATGGAACCCAAGTACCTCCAGTCTGCGCTGGAACAGCTGTGCGTGCGCGACCTCGCCCGGTCGCCTGAGGGTGTTGCTATCTGGCTGGCGGCGAAGGATATGTTCCCCGAAGCCACCTTCCCGAGCAAAATCTGGAAGCATGACGATCCCCTGGATACGAAGGAGCGCAACAGCTTGTCGAAGATCATGAAGGAATCGGGTGCTGCGGCCAGCGACGGTGAGACTAAGGTGAGCACTGCAAAGTCCTCTGGCGTCTGGAACAACAAGCTCCACTTCGCCTGGGATGCGGTTATCTCTCGGACCAGTCTTGAGGTGAAGGACAAGTCGAATAAGTCCCGTATGACCTTTGTTGATTTTTGGACTGAGGTTGTTGACAGTGAGTACCTATCCAGCGCTGGAATGATACATGAGACACATAAGAACTGACAAAAAAAACTCACTACAGACGGTTTGTTTGCTGCTGCGTCCTCGGATGAGCGCAAATACTGGGGCTTCCTTCTTTTCAACAGAATTCTCAACGACGGCGGGTCGAAGCAGGCCCCTCAGACTTTTACCAAAAATCTTATGCGATGCTTGACGAACCAGCTCGCTGTGGAGGACCGGTACTTGCACCGAATGGCCGTTAAGACGGCGAAGGCAATCCAGGCCCGTGTATCCAAGGAGCCTGAATTCGCAGCTGCGGCCGTTCGTGGATTGATGGGAACTAGCGGCACGTTGAACTTCGACCAGGCTACAAAAACCAAGACTGTTGAGAAGATTGTTGCCGAAGCCAACCACGAAGCATTGGAAGAGATTGTCCCATTCTTCGAACAACTCATTCAAAATCCCGGCACGACCGACGAGAAAACTGCCGCATCCAACCGTCAATTTGTTGCTGGTCTCCTTTTGACTATTGTGCGCTCCAAGGCTTCTGCCACCGAAGATGATACCGAAGACCTCCAAGCAAGCCTTGAGAAGATTCTGTTCATTTTCGTGCGCTTCGCGTACTTCATGGATGCCGGCAAGAGCTCCACTGCCCCCGAGCCTGCTCTCTCATCGGCGACACAAGAACTCTTGCGCAATCGAATCAACTCCTGCTTGAACAGCCTTATTTCTAACCAAAAGTTCGCCGCTACACTCCCGTATGCTGTGGTGAAGCAGATTCGCGATGCAGCCAAATCTGGCGAATTCGGCAAGTTCATCATCGCTATCGATGAGAAGCTGTCGGAATCTGTGAAGGCTGCTTTCAAATCTCTGAAGAAGTTATCCAGCAGGGTATGGTTTTCCCCCTCATCGGTCTCGTAGCTGCTTGTACTGACTACCATATAGGAGAAGAAAGACAAGGGCATGGCCGCTTTCAAGCTGCTTTACTCTATGACTATCATGCAGGTGTACAACGGAGACGCAGACGCGGTATCCATGCTCGATGAGCTGGAGTTCTGTTACACCAAGTTCCTGGGCGACAAGGAAACTAAAACGGAAGACGCCGGCGATGCCTCGGATGCGTTGGTTGAGATCCTTCTCAGTTTCGCATCCAAGCAATCGCAGCTGTTCCGTCGTATGAGTGAGCAGGTGTTTAGCGCATTTGCTGACCAGATCACCGAAAACGGATTGGAATCTTTGACCTCGGTATGTAACTTTGAGTTTTGTCAGACATGCATTTTCTAACTAGACCCAGATTCTGGAGGCCAAGGAGAGTCTCGCTGGACAGCAAGAGATGTTCGAAGCGCAAGATGATGAAGGCGAGGAAGAAGAAGACGACGATGCCGAGATGATGGATATCGACGAGGATGAGCTCGACAGCGATGTCGAGGTCGTCGAAGCCGGTGGCTCCGGCTCCACCTCAGATGACGACGAGGAGGAAGAGGAGGAAGAAGAAGACAACGAAGAAGATGCAAAGGAAGTCGCCGCCTTCGAAGCCAAACTCGCCGCAGCTCTCGGCGCACATGGCGCAGACGAAGGCGAGTCCGACTCCGACATGAACGATGATGAGATGGACGAGCTAGACGACAAACTAGTGCAAGTATTCCGCGCGCGTCGCCAAGAAACCTCCCATCGCAAAGACAAGAAAGATGCACGCGACAACATGGTGAACTTCAAGAACCGCGTCCTGGACCTGCTAGAGATTTTCGTGAAGAAGAGCCACACCCGCCCGCTCGCGCTAGATATCCTCCTGCCATTGCTCCGACTATCTCGCCGGACCAGCGTGAAGCAGATCGCCACCAAGGCCAATGGAGTGCTGCGCGAGTACACCAAGGTGTGCAAGGGTAATTCGCTCCCGAATATCGAGGACGATGCACAGGTAGAGGCGCTCTGGGAGCTGCTCCGATCTGTTCACAAGGAGGCTAGCCACAGTGGACCGATGGGCCATGCGACTGCTTGCAGCCAGGCTAGTTTGCTTGTTACTAAGGTGCTTGTTGCGCATGATAAGGATGCTATTGCGGGTGTTGTGGATGTCTACGCTGCTACTCGCAAGGACCAGCTCATGAGCACTAAGTGTCATGTGCAACCCTCGTTCTTTTCGGAATGGAACAACTGGTGTGTTTCTGCGAGCAAGCAGTTGAAGTGAGGTTATGTTTCTTCCAATTGCATAGAGCTCGCGAGTATGATCTGTCGCTAGTTTTCAATGTCAATGTCATTATCATGTTCATAACGGTTCCTCACTGTGAAATCACTACTACGTTCTATTTAGTATTCCCATTCCCGACTTTTTTATATCACGATATATCGTCACATATATATATATATATATCAACTAAACATCGACTTCGAAAGTAGTATCTAGCCTTATAAAAGGAGATCCACCATAAAGCTTGGAATATGTATCCATGAATATTCCAAAATATATACCAAGAAGAGTGAACAATTAGAGAATATTTCATGTTTGCCATTCCAATTTTGAGCCCACTCCCATTCTGTGTATATACAGCCCCCTCAAATCACAACGAATCACATAAACCTCTCTAGAAGCCAGTCATATATCGATGCTCAGTCGTCTCCTCCAAAACCTCCAACTCCATTCCAACCTCAATAGTCCCCTCATTACGCGGCGCACTCAACATCCCAAAACAAGGCTTATATTTAATCCCCTCATCAACCCTACGGTACGAAACAAGCGTGTCCCACGGCTGTTTCTTATGTTTGAGCGCCGTATCCGGATCAACATTAGGCACCTGGCAGCGCGCACAGCGAGCCACAATATCCAGATCAAGCGAAGGCCGAATAACAGCCTCGCCATCACCACACTTCTGACCGTTAATGCGAACCAACTTCCACGAATCCTCACTCCACGGTGCTCCGCCGCGAACAACGATATTCGGACGGAACCGCTCGACAGTAATCGGGTCAACGCCCGCCTTTCCCAGACGAGCATTGAGTTCTGCCAGCGAAGCCTCCGACGCAATCAGCACCGGGTGCACATCCGGAAAACCGGTCGTCTGGACGCGGCCCAGATGGCTGGGCGCGCCGTTACCCTTTAGCACGCGCGGGGTCGGGCCCTTGTAGACGAGGGCGACGTCGCGGCGCAGGAAAGCGGAGAAGGGGGCGTTGATTTCATCGCTGTACCTGTACCCATCTGTATGCGTGTCCCAGATCTGGACGGGGCCCGGATTTGTATTTTCCGCTAGCCATTGCGGGGATGGATGGGAAGGGATACGGATTGTGTGGAATTGATGCTCTTGATCTTGGTCTTGGTCTTGCACTTGATGTTCGAATTTGTCCTGACTGGACTCATTGGTTCCTGGTTTTGGGATACTCACGATCAAATCGTCGCCGTCGGCACTTAGAGCGGTGCGGATGCGGGTCATATCCGGGATTTGGCGGATGGTTAGGAAGGTATTTGAGGATGCGTCGATGAGCATCCAGCGGCGGTCAAGGTCGAGACCGTGCTGTTTTAGGACTGTCGATTGGACTTCTAGGCCTCGGCATGATTTTATGGGATACATGCGCAACGAGATGATCTCGCTGCATTGTTTGGGGCGCTGACGCCATGATCGGAGAAGTTTGGTTGGGTATTGAATTGATTTGGGCCATCCTGCGAGACGGGGAATCAGGATGATTGGAATTAGGAGTATGAGGGCTAAGATTATTGCTGACGCCATGTTGTGCGCCTGAAGTATGTTTGCTGTTTGGGAAGATGTTAAGGTTATACCTGATGTAACAGGTTGGTTTTGCCAAGGAGTGCCGCCTTTCGTTGCGAGGGCCTATGTGGAAGTGCTCAGGTCAGGGAGACGTGGTGCTTCTAGTTCATCATTATAGTGGTCTGTTGATATGCTGTACATTCCTATTATTCTACATTTAGTAGCTGCTTTAGATCCAATAATAAAGGAACCCGAAAGTATGAATTAGACATATGGTATCTGGAAAATGCCACATGAAAACACCATGCATGTATAGATATGCAATAAATGAGAGAGAAAGGAACCGAAAATGCATATAAGTCCAGGAAAAGCAACTGCTGAAGCCGAGTACCCGATATGAAAAAAAAAACCAACATGTACCTAGGTAGACCACCGAAGGGGCAGATGTCAAAGACAAAGCCGACGGCGATATTGCAATCTGTTTATGCCGAATGCTTCTTACCAAGCCAACATGTGACCATTGCCTTAATTAGGGCGAGTGTGACAACCCGGCCTTGCTCAATATCCGCATCCTCAGACCCCCCAGGGACATGGAGGAACAGAACATTGCGGTCCTGCCCTTGTAAGTGGGCCAAAGACATGCTGGTATAGAAAATAAAGTCACACAGATAGTGACCTGCGTCCTTGGAGATCCGGAGATCCGATTTGGGAGCAAAAGAGCGCCACGTCTCCAGGAACTGGTCCTCGGGTTGGTAAGGCGAAGCAGAGGAGGGATCGTCTGTAGCACGACCTGGGGTCAGAATGGGCGGCAGACCTAATTCTTTCCATCGCTTCTCGCCATCCACATAGCCGGGGCGACCATTGACATCGGTGATATTATAGTTATCTCGGTGAGCTAAAGTTTCGACGGAGTAATATTGCCGCGGAGCAGCGATGCCGATATGAATAATGAGATCAGGTCTGCGACCATGAGAGGCAACAAACTTCTCCAGAATTAATGGAAGAGCCTCTCGAACAGTGGCATATGCCACTGGGATTGGAGTGGGATGCACATGGAGTGAGACTCGTGAATCCGAGTCATCTGGGAAAAGAAAAGACGATGGAAGAGAGGAGGCGATTAGATAAGAGGCATTCACAAGGTTTGTCTTGAAGGGCTGGTTACACTGTTAGTTTGGGTCAGGTACTAATGTAGATCACTTACCCCAAAGCCGGTTATTAGAACAGATATCTCTTTAAGCGAGGGGTCGACAGTGGGGAGTATATATGGAGCAGTACCGTAGTCCCCCATTTTGACGGGTTTGAAGTTGAGATTTGAAGCGGGGAATTTATCGGGGAAATGGGAAACGAAGGGTCTTGGCGGAAATAGGCGTCGCCTATTTCTGTTGAGTTATGTAACCAGTTAGACGTTATGCAGGGTGCATATCTTGCTAGCTTAGCTTGTTATATATTACTTTGTTACATGTTCCCTACACTCTTTGGTTACGGAGAATCTTTTTATTGTACCACGGAGTACAGAGTTCCCCATTCTACCGTTCAACAGTCTTGTATAGACCTCTATTATCACTGGCTTATAGCTTGCAAGACATATGCAAGTGGATCCCAGACGGAATAGAAACTAATTCAAGAATTGCCTGTTTGGGTAAAGCTCGCTTAATCTGGGCCTCGTTCTCGCATTTCGCCCACTTTTGGACCAGTGAGGTTAGCTATATACATAATAACTAATCTAAGAACATTATTTATTAGAGCGTTGTCGATCCAGTGAAAGGGGTTGGTTAGCTTAGACCTTATTGGACCTGTGGCTTTTCAATGCTTGGCTTTCGTTTGATCTAGCTCAACTTGATATGTAGCATTTGATATTTTCCGTGGACCCCCCCCCCCCCTGGTTTGAATATCTAGTGCGAGGTCCGTGAGGGGGGAAAAATGGAGTCTCCCTGACTCGCAACCCAAGACTTTATAAATGAGAAAAGTCCCTCGGAGAATATCAGTTCTGTAGAAAACTGGGGTGTCGTTTCTACTGTCCCCCCCCACTTTTTTAAGTCTTGACCTTGACTATGGCAATAATCACCGAACTGATCAACAGTTCCTATGTCGTACAGGGTATGTGCATCGCCCTAGTGGCGGTGCTCATAACAAGTGTCTGGGCAGATATAGCAGATGAGATTCCCTATAGACACATTCCGTTGGTGGGAAAGACCGGGTGGGACCTTACCAACAAAAAGGCCCGGCTACTCTTCACTCGGTCATGTCGTCAATTAATTGCTGAAGGCTTTGCAAAGGTTAGTCCGGATAATAGACTGTAGCATTCTCCTCAAAGATGCTAACAGGCTTTCGCAGGGAGTCAATGTCTTTCAGATCATCGGAGCCACAAGCCCGGTTGTTATATTGCACCCCAAGTTCGTCGATGAAATCAAGAACAATCCAAATCTGAGTTTTAAAGACTCTGTCAAAAAAGCAAGCTATGAACCCGGAATAAGCTGTGACTATGGCTAACTTGCCCATAGACCTTTTTTAGCGATCGCATTTCTGGGTTTGAACCATTTCATAATGGCACGGCTTCAAAAGTGACCGTTGAGGTCGCGCGGACTAGTTTGACCCAGGCGCTCGGTATGTCTTTATATACCTCACCCGACGGACATAATTGACTCATCTTTCCCAATTAAACAGGGTCCATCTCACTTCGGCTCTCAAAGGAGTCTGGTGCGACATTAAAGAAAGGCTTGCCCGCCACCGATGGTATGCTGAAGCACCCCATTCGCACTGAACCCTCTCACTGATGTTGTCTCTTTTGACAGAATGGAAGCCCTTCCACCTCGCCTACAATATCCCGCACATGGTAGCCCGCATCTCCTCCTTGATATTTGTTGGAGAGACCATCTCCAACGATGATGAGTGGATTAATGTTTCCGTGAATTATGCCATAGATTCGTTTATGGCTATGCGTGAACTACGAGGATGGCCATCCGCCATCCGCCCGATCGTACACTGGTTCTTGCCCTCTACCCAAAAGCTACGCCATCACTTGAAAATAGCTCGCTCCATCATTGGCCGCGAGCTCGACAGGCGGGCGTTGATTCGCGCGGGCAAGCTCCCTGCAGAGGATCCACCCCGTGGACCTGACGCTATGGACTGGTATCGCGAGACCGCTGAAGCCCGGAATAACTTTACCTTTGACCAGTCTATTGCCCAGGTTGGATTGGCGCTGGCGGCCATTCATACCACGTCAAACTTGCTAACTAACGTCATATATGACCTCGCGGCGTACCCAGAGTACATCCAGCCATTGCGTGATGAGATTCGTGCGGTTGCTGCCGAGGATGGAACTCTAAAGAAGACTAGTTTGCTTAAGCTGAAGTTGATGGACAGTGTGATGAAAGAATCACAGCGTACTCACCCACTCTCATTCAGTAAGTTATCCACGGTCTGGCGATGTTTATCCGTTCAAAACTTGTTTCGCTTGGAAGAATGACTCGCTGACACTCCACAGGCTCTATGAGCCGCCTCGCCCTTGAGAAAACTGTGCTCTCCGATGGAACTGTGATCCCTAAGGGCGCCAACATCTTTGTTTCTACAAAAACACTGGAGGATGACAGTATCTACCCTAATGCTGCCACCTATGATGGTTACCGGTTTTACAACAAACGCCAGCAGCCCGGCAACGAACACAAGTATCAGTTTGTCACGACATCACCCGAGCACTTCGTGTTCGGCCATGGCCTCCACGCCTGCCCTGGCCGATTCTTCGCTGCCAATGAAATCAAGATTCTGCTCCTTCATTTGCTCCTGAAGTACGATTGGAAACTGGAGAGCGGCGGTCGACCTCCGAACATTGAAAATGGGTTCGAGTCTATCACCGACCCAAGGGTTCAGCTTCTGTTCCGGTCGCGGGAGTCTGAGGTTGACCTAGCTTTCCTAGGAGAGTAGTGGATGACTCTAGGGACATTCCCCCACTTTTGGTTCTATATATATTGGAATTGTTAGGGTTGGTGTTTTAATTATGATTTGATCATGGAAATGATGTTATTTATAAGCTGTGAGCCAAGCTGGATTCCGAGTACCCCATTTGAATATTATCGAGTTTGGAAAAAGGTCGAGTCCAAGTCTTAAGAGTACTTAGTGGAAGACTTTAAGAGTGGAGTTGATTGGCATCTGGCCCACAGTTCTGCGGGTATACTGTGGCTATCCATTGTAAGCGAGATGAGATCTCCCAAGACTAAATCTAAGAATTTCTCGGAGAATTTAACATGTGCACTATTTCAATGCTCGGTGCATATGTAAGTCACACAATCGAGATCGAGATTTCTGGGCACGTGATTGGTAATTATACAGTAATTATACGGTAACTTCCAACACGTGTGTTGGACGCGTCGCGCGTCAACGTGAAGCTCCAACACCCCCAATGGGGTTATAATGGGTCTTTGGGCTCCAGGGCCCCAGACCGCACAATGAGAAATAGTGACCGATCGACGGTACCCAGGTACCCGTACCTTTTTTTCCTTTGAACGTAACAAACCAATTCATGAAAAAGAGCTTTTGCTTTTCCAGACCCAAGCCACTCTATAATTGGTTAAAAAAAAAAAAGGAAAAATGAGCTGAAGAATATTGGTGCAGACTATCAGCTGCACTTCTACACGCAGCCTGACTGTTCTGTTCTGTACGAGCCCTTGCAGCTATAGAGTGAACGGCTGGAGACAATGTCTCGAAGATGGAGCACCGATCTGCCATACGGAGTACTCCGTACATGGTACCTGATCCCACCAGCCCCCTCATTTATGAAGCCTATGTATAGAGTACTTACTCTGTACCGAGTACTCCGTACTGCTTACAGCCTACGTTATACCTTCCAGCCCTAGAGCAAAAAAGTAATGATTTGCCCAGGGTGTCCCTACCTCCCAAACTTCCCTCCAAAGCCCCAATTTATTTGTCGACAGTGCATGCATCAAGCAAGGCCTGTGTCCACCATACACTATAGGAAAGACTCGAGAAAATCTAAACATCATTTTGTAAAGAAAGACCTGAAGAAAAGTTCCTATAGCAAAGTTTTTAGTCGACAACGCATAAGATTTTCGCAGTGGGCCGTTGAAGTAAGTACTAGGTACCAAGTCCAGTAGGCAGTTCACCACAGGGAGCACAGGTACCAAGTACCCCCCACTCCCGCACGCCTCACCCTACGCCCAATCCTCCCCCATCTTCCTCTTCGTCTTTCTCTCTACCAACACTTACTACCCATTATCGCGAGATATTTGCTCGCACCCGTCTCCGTTTGAGGAGACTTTCTTTTTCTTTTGTGTTTTTTTTTTCGGGTAATGACGAAATCCTTCATTCCCTACTACTCGGACGGGATGGAGCCGCAGATGTGATCTGGTGATCCCCGATTTCAAGTTGCCGCATTCCTTAGGAAGCACATCACGCACACCGAGACCTCGGTTTTTTTTTATTCTTTCACGTTCCTCTGCTCTCGTTGCATTTTCCTTTATCTTGCCCCTTCACGATTCACGATATTGACGCGACGCTGCGCGCTTCGACTCGAAGTCGCGCCGTACTCACCTACTCTCAACCTCGACACGTCCTCTTCCCAGAAGTCGCATTGACCAACATTCTGCGGCTCGTAAGACCGTAAGATCGGCAGAATGGCTCAACGTCAACTTTCGCGTACTCTGCCGAAGAACTTTACCTTCTCCCTCGACGACAATGAACCCAAGACTCCCGAGCGCCCTAGCACCACTATGAGTGTGCCTCCTCCACCTCGCCATTCAATCTCCAGCTGCCGTCTGCCCAGAGTTCGGGCTCGCGCCGGTACCAATGTCTGTGCTCGCATGGACATGGATATGTTTCAATTCCACGGCTCCGATGTTCCCCTACCTTCAATTGAAGTGCCCCCCCAACCGACCACCGACCTCGAGGCGCCTTTATTTCGTGATTTCGCCAAAGATGAGGGATATCTTGCGCCTCCTCGCACGCGAAGGGATTTTAAGACGCCGCCTGCGCAGATCCGTGGCACGCCTTTCGACTCCTGCGACAAGGAAAGTACGTGGCCATCGTGGGACCAGACACCTGGCCCAAATGACATCAAGCGCCCAGACTCGGCCTGCTCGACTTTGTCCAATTCTTCAGTTGAATCCATTGAAACGTTCGCGTCACGACCATCTGTAGGAAGTTTCACTAGTGTCGAGAGCGATTTGTTTGACTCATACTTCCCTTTGGAGATGTCCAAAGAACCTGAGGTTGAGTCGCCTTCGCGACCTCAGAAACAGTCGGTGAATGTCAAAGCGTCCAAGAAGTCCTGGACTCGCGAGATGGATACCCACTTATGGAACACCTATCAAATTTACCTTCAGGACCCTACTATGACTCCGTTCAAGATGACCCCTGGTAGTATTCCTCCTCTGGGAGTCACCTCGCGTGTTGCGCGACGCGCCAAGAAGACATGGGGGCAAAAGAGCAGTCGCATCGTTGAATCTGTTTCGATGAAGTCTGTTGACTCTATTGGATTTTCTACACCAAAGGCTGCGGACGAGCAGTTGCAACCAGGCTGGCCCAAGTCTGACTCCAAGACTCGACGACGCCTCAAGATGCTATGTCGTCGCAAATTCTCCATCTCTCCTCATTATCAGCGCATAATGCAGTCTCGCACTCCCGAGCCTGTCACGGAGATGTTTGGCCCTCCTACGGATACCCGCGTTAAAGACTTTGCTGATAACTCGGCCTACACTACTCGTGACCTCGGAATTTCTCTTGTCGCCTCCGAGCCGACTCCACTTTCTCAGGTTACACAAGACTTGCCCTTGACTACGGACTGGTTTAACAACCCTGTACCTACTCATGTCGAGCCACCAGTGGCCAAGACTCCTAGCCAGCATCTCCGTACCGGATCTGCCCCTAACATACCTCGCCTGGGATCTCCGTTCGTGTACAGCACTTGGGGCCCCGGTGGATCAAACCGCCATGTCCATGATCCCAATGCCCGACGTGGGACCGTTCATGTTCCGGGTTATCGTGCCCGACGCAACACATACTTGGACCAGTCCTTGCCCGACACCGACGATGTATTTGCGAGCGTATCTAGGGAGCAGAAGAATCCCTCGGATCAAGAAGTTGAACGTCGCTTGGAGGATTATGTTCGTGATAACAAGTTCCAAGACATGGGCCATGGTCGGGTCCGCGTTCGCAATCGTGGAGCCACCACTAGCGCTGTCAATCCTAGAGACATGGACCAGCTTTTCTCACCGCCCTCGTCCCTCAACTCAGGCCCCATTGAGCCCGAGGAGACCACACCTATTCTGAAGCCGCCCATGAACCCATTATTGGACCTTGGCGAAAACATCAAACGCCTTGGCTCACCCTTCCGGATCGAAGGAGGATTCAAGCGTCGCGAGGCTCCGAAGCGGCTCACTAGACAAACACCTGCGCTGTCTGATCCGTTCTTGAGCGGTGGCCCTTCTCACACCAGACTTGATGACAGCACTTCTCCCATGCAGGTTTCTCCGGCTCAAGTACATGATAAAGCCCCGGATCCTTTGCCATACAATGCCTCGGAGGATGGCCTTTCTGATGCCGAGCGCATCCGCCGGCAAATCTTGAATATGCCCTTTACACGCAACTAGGTTGCGTTTTTTTGCTGTCGAATTTCCAAGTATCCGTTTCATCGTGGCGTCGATTTCTTTGCGAGATTTTATCCCCTTTGCATAATGATTTGAACGAGATACCGACAGGGCCCTGCTACGGCCCTTGCATTTCCAGCCTTTTTACGACAGCAACACCATCCACGACTGTAACGATACGTTTGAGACCTTTTTCACGCTCAACCCTCAAAATCGCAATACTGAACCCAACGACAAAAAAAAAAAAGTGATGGGTCTTTCCACTTTTCATTTGGTCGAAACTCACAGTACATTGGCCTCTGGCTGTTGGTTATCCACCTACGAACATTGAGCTCGTTGGTCTTGTAACAACAACCACCATATGTGTGGTTCTGTTTCGCACCCCTTTCTCGGTGAAACCAGCATTTTCTTGATGCAGTTTCATCATCCATTCGCTCATCTTATTTCCTTCTCTACCAACGGGGCTTTCACCTCCAACAAAATAACCCAAAACCACCAAAAAAGTTGAAAACAACCGAAACCCCATATTTGCTGTCAGCAACCAGCAATCATTCGCTATTTTTGCGACCCACGCTCCTTACATTTTTCTTTATTATCTTCTTTTCTCAGACCTTGTCCAGTTGTTCATCTCCTGAACCTCCTACATGGTACATACCTTACCCATCATGTCATCCTGGAGATACGACACGACTTGATAATGGTCGCCTTTCGAATTACCCGTCACACATGGAAACGACTCCCTGCCTTTATGTTGACTATCGTCAGCCAACATCGATGGCACTGCACCCCCCAAAAGCGAATGTGCAACGATACATATGCAAATACATAGACGAACTGAAACGAAACGAACGCGCATGAATATTGCAGTTGACCAACGACATCCCTGATACGCAAGCGAGGTGTTTGGTTTTCTTTTGCCAGCGGTCCCATTTTCTTCCTAATTCGCATTTCATGATCTCAATCTTGAAGCTGATTTCCCCGGTTAATTCTACTTCTCGATTGTTGATCCACGATTTACCCCATGCTTTCAATTCTCGATTTGATTCAGCTCGTGCTCCATGATTCCCCTTGTGGCGAGCCTTATTGGGTTTGCATTCGGATAATCGCGTGTTTTTTTCCTTCTCTCTGGTCATTTCCTTGCTTCTTCTGCGTCTCCTGGCGTATGGATGTCTGTCTTTTTTCTTTTTTCTTTCAGAGCCTGTTTTTCTGGATCTTTGTGATCTTACTCTGGAGCTTGTGAGAGTTTGGCCGTTTTATCTACTTTTTTTCCTGATCTATTTTTCTCCTGCGGGGGTTGATCTTTTAGAGCCAGCCATTGGCTTTGTTTGACCAAACTGATCCGCCAATTGAAGTATTATTTATCTTCCATTTTCATCTCTTTTTTTTTCCAGTTGTAGGTTACCGATTGTCGGGTAACTCGTACCTGTGTTCTTGAGCTGATCCTCTATTCTCGCACCTGTACTTTAATCACTCTCAAATGCACTTTGCAGGCACCATAGGCAGACGATACACCCCCTATATTCTTCGGTCTCGCTGCACACATGTCACGACTTGTACATGCTCTTCTATAGTAGCCTTGATCAGCCTTGGGTTCCATTCATACTAGCTAGCTAAGCTCTATTTTGTCTGTCCATATACCCTTAATTTGTTGTACTCGGTCACATTCAAGCAGATGATGGATTATTTGTGAAAGTCCCAACAATCCGAAGTGAGCAAGAGGAGCCTAGGATACTTAGGTAGTCAATGAACAGCTGGCCTTAATGTAATGACGACTCAATATTAGATATTATCTACAGATCGGACAAGTACATCAAAAAACAATAGTAAACCAGGAATAAGAACAGGCAACAGGTAAAATGAGATAGCAATGGGGGGTATAAGTTATAAAGATATCTGCAGTGAGGCAATTCAACACAACAAGAAACGAACCAAAAGAAAATCACTTCTCCAATTTCCTCTTCCGCTCAGCAAGTAGAGCCTCAATCTTCCGAATCTGAAGAGCAAGACCCTTCTTCTCAGCATTGGCAAGGAGCCACTCCTCCATCCCGCGACGGACATGCCGCATGGAATGCAAGACAGGCAGAATAGGCGCAGACGACAAAGCTGCATCAGCTCCGTTCTCACGCTCGATGCGCTGCCAGCGCTCGGCACCGGGGTTCAGCAAGAGATCGAAGACACCAGCCCAGAGTTCACGGTCCCAGTATCGTTTCAGAGACTCGCGGATGCGATAGGTGCGGGATGATGCGTTTTCGTCGTTGCCATTGATAGGGGTGGATTCGATGTATTTTCCGAATAACAGGACATGGATCACGCCGGCAATACCGTACAGATCGATATGGTGGGTCCAGGGGCGCATCTCGCGGATTTCGTTGCACTCGTGCGTACCGGTTTCCCAGTCGGCCATGAATTGCACGCCTGGCGAAAAGGCTTGCATGTCGATGCTGCGGCCGAAATCAATCAAGGCTAGGCCCTTTTGTCGCCAGCCGTAGGAGCCGCTTGTGGAATAGTGGATGCTTTCGCGGGGATCCAAGGCGGTTTCATCGGCGCCAAGGTCGAGTAGGGAGAGGGCCTTGGAGGGTGGTTCATTTGGATTGTGGTCGTCTAGGCGGACGAGGCAGTTGTCAGCTTTGATGTCGCCGTGGAGGACGCCGTTGGCGTGGAGTGCTTCGACGGTGCGGAATAGCTCGACAGAGAAGAACATTGCTAAGACCTCCTCAAGACCGCCTTCGGAAGTATGGTTGGGGTTGATGGTTTCATTGCGGACGATGTTGACGAGGTCAAGTATGGTGCCTTGTCCTCGATAGTCCTCCACCAGGAAGCTTTCACGTCGGTGGACATGCAATTCGTGTGCGCGAACAATGCTATCGGTGGCGCGAGAATAATCCGTAGATTCTCGTAGGCGGCTATATGCTGTGCGAATCATGTAAAACTCCCATGCACTTGATGGTCCATTTTCGACTTTGACTGCTTCGAAGGGGAATCGGGGAGTTTCATAAGCGTTTGACTTTCTCAGTTGGGAAGTTTTGCCGTTAGGGCTTGTGCCATCGTCGGAGTCGGAGTCGTAGGATTCAAGACTGTCGACACTCTCCGCGAGGTAGACAGGGGCATATGCGCCGGCTCCTAGCTCACGCCTGATAATGTAGCTTCGTTCCGCTCCTGGAAACTCGAGGATAGGTGTGTCAAATGCCTCATTTCCGCCACTCTTTGATCGCCTGGTGTTAGTTTTGACGAATTTTTGGATCACCGAAGCATAGTTGCTATCCTCAACATGACCGTGATAACCCGTGTACGTCGCAAGTGGCCTTTCCAAGGAATTGAGAATCGTGTTGCGAATGCCCTTGTCAGTCGGATTGCACTGCGCATCCTTGATTATTGCTTCCCGTCTCCGTAGCTTGGGCGCGAGGGCCTTGAAGGCAGTGGGACTGAACGGTACGTCAGCCGTAGACGCAAGAGTATGATCTCCGTGGTATGGCGTGTTTGTCCCCAGTGGACTGGAAAGCAAAAAGCTGCCGGCCGGTGATCGAGGCTTCGAAGGCGTTTTCGCGTTATAGATGCTGTTTCGAGCGGCCGTCAAAGAAGGAATGGATTCCGTTCGCTCCACGATAGGTGTCATAAAGGGAAGGCGGTTTTGGGCCATGATCGCAGGGTCACGGTAGGTCCCCCATGGAGGAGCATAGTCCTCGGGCATTTCTGGAATAAAACCTTTCCTCTCCGGTGTTCCTTGTGTAGGACTACCTTCCGTTCCATCACCCACGACAGAATGTGAGGTGAGTTCAGCATTTTCAATATCCGGAATATCACGATCAGGATTGAACTCTGTCCAATCGCTGCCATCGCCATCAACGCTCTCAGCTCGTGTGGTGTTTGCATAGTCGGTGTCATCGTAGGATTTGTGGAATGTTTGGGTCTCTTCGTCTCCAAAGTCGCTCGAGGCCGCTGAGAGGTGCCCCGTGCCTGTACTGTCTCCAGTACTAGCACAATCGTCATCTTCGTAATCGCTACCGCAGAAGCTATCTGCGTCACCTTCAGTCTCTGCCTTCAATGGCTGGTTGAAAATGCCATAGATTTCATCTGTCGCTGCACGAGTATGCATCGTCATTGTCGGTTCCCGAGTACTCTTTCGTCGGACCTTCTTATTATTGGACGGGGAGTCAAACTTCATTTTGACTGCACAAGTGTGAGTTTAGCCTGCCCAAAGGATGAAAGACTTTTACTACTAACCGGTTTGTGTTTGTGTTGTCTCCCCCTTGATCTTGGTGCGGCTCGCTTTGTTAGATTTGTCTCCATGGCCTTCCTCTTGATATTGGGATTGGGTATGATTAGCTGTGGTGAGATTTTGGCCTAGATGCTCCGGCAGTTCCTCTGACGAGTGGGATTTTCCTAGTAGGGACTCGGTACTGCCAGCGTTCCCAGCGATCTGCTGCAAGGGCTCTTTTTGTTGCCGCCAATTATTGCCCATCCAACCACGCTTGATGGCCCTGAGCTCCTCAAAACTCATCTCATATGCAGGGTTGGTGCGGTCGGGGTATACTGATTCCAGGTCGACAAATACACGCTCGCGTCGGCCGGTGCGCGGGTTAATCGCTTCCCTTACATGATGCTCGGGTACCTTTCTGGGTGACATTGGTTCTTTGGAAGGAAGATCTGGATTGGACTGAATACATAATAAAACACCATAGGTTCATGCCAGCAATTAGTCCTGTGATCGTAAATATGTGGAGGTCTGAAAAGGGAAAGGACAACCAGGAATGGAAACTCACCTCGTCCCTGAAGATAGCCATCTTTTGTGTTGGCGCTGCTTTTTTTCCGGCCTTCAATGTTTCTCCTGCCCACGGCTTTGCCTCCACTTCGTTCTCCTTCTTGCGGTCCCGAATCGACCCAATGCTTTCCCACCCCTTTGTTGACCCACCAGTTGCGGGGCCCGGCGCAGCAGAGTCAGCGTCTGAAAAGATAGCCATCTTGGGCTTTCCGGACTTGGTTTTCGCGGCACCGCCCATCTGAGG